AGGCTATTTTCTAAAATCGGTAATTTCTCCACTTAAATTCGCCAATGACTAGATGCCGTTTTTACAATTTGTTTTCTGCTTTACAATTTTACTCGCATTATTCATATAAGCTGAAAAGCCCTTTGTGATAAATTAAATTTGTATTGAGTTTACTTTCAATTTCATGATCGCATTCGATTTACTTTTACAATATATTTTATGCCACATTGAATAGAGACTGCGAACCTGTAGGATGCAAAATAGAAATGAACTTGAAAATTGTGAGAAAAACGCCATTAAACTTGATAAAAGTAGTACCTTGTTGTTCAATTGGGCAGAGAAGAGACTGATTATTAAATTGTAAAGTATAATGAAGATGCCAAGGAGAGCAATGAGAATGTCCATTACAACAGAATGGTTTCCAACAATTATGCTGAAATGGATGAACCAAAGTGATTGAAAAGCTACTCCGGTATAAAAATAGAGAACTAATGAACGAACTTTACTAGAATATGAATCCATTTTGTTAAACAACAGCAATGCATTCTTAGCAATGAATTTAATATCAGTGTTCTGAGGCTTATCTATCGATTCAAGTAACCAAGATGTTGCATTTTTTAGTGAATTCATGTGGAAATAAAAAACACCGACATAGATATAAAATAATGACCCATAACAGAGCTCTTGAACCGCTAAATATATCACTAAAGGTGTCAATGTTAAAGTCCATACAATTTCACAGATGATTGTTTTCAGTGAAAAATAGTTATAAATGCAAATACAAAGTTCATAGTTGTAAAGAATCACTATATATGGAACTAACATGGTAAGGGCAATGTTATGAAATGCACTCAGCAAGTAAAAGAAACGACAAAAGTCTTTCTGTCGAGGCTTCACAAATGGAAAATGGGAGAATCCATTTTTCAATAAAACTTTGATTCTCGATGGTTCACCAACAAATCCACCTTTCTTCTCAACAATCAATACAATTTCATGACACATTACCATAACTGTTACTCCAACAATAATTACGATCCACAAATAATCCCTGTCATTGGATCCATAGGCTGAGTCGCCGAAATAAATGGCCGTTTCATCATGGATGTTGATGATTGCAATAGCTCGTAGCATGCTAACTAAATAACCAAATCGAATCAACCAAGTTCCAAAGTTGATTTTCTGTTCCATTTCGATAATTTTATCGATATTCTGATCGAAACCATTCGTCAACGCAAAGTAAAATTTAAATCGATGTTCCAGCGCTTCAGTAGATTCAATTGAAAGCTGCTTAAAATCATAACCATAGAACCGATGAACAACTATTTGGTGAATGAATTTGATCAACTTTAAGAAAAATATTGCTGGACGAGATTTAACAAACTTTTGTTTCATTTTTACATCAATTTGTATAGTTGATAGCAATAGAAATTTGAAATCAAAGTTAACTCATCAAAGTAAAAAATTGACTGTTGTTGGTCTTTTCGCAAGAATATTCAACCGACTTTGCAATATCGATCAGAAAATTGATTGAAGTTCGCATTATGTTCACATTTTACACTTTTCATTGATCATTAATTTTGATGATCATTTACCTAAACGTTACCATAGTTGCATTGCGAAAAGAGAATTATTAAATTATTCAAATTCTAAATCTAATTTGAGGTTCTTAATCGAAAAGTTAACTTGAATGTACTCAAATAACATTGAAGTCTAGAAGACGTCAACTGGGAAGTGCAAAAACATAAAGATTCCCTAAGAAATACTAGGAATAAACAATATTGTAATAGCAGATCAGAGCAGAGCAAAAATAAGATCTAAAAAGTTCCATCATGCACATGAAACTTTGGTTATTGTTGAAATTCTTGTTAGATTGCTGAACATTCGCTAATTGTTTTCACTATGGTTAAAGACAATGTGCGAAAAAGATAAAAGAGATTTCAATGGTTTTCCTTTCAATTGTTATAATAAAACAAGAAAACGACAAAAAAAGGAAAAAAATTTATTCACTAATAAAGACTAATTCACACATTTATTACAATACATTTACATGTTGTTACATGAACAATTGAACAATGAAACCTATTGACACTTGTCAAAGGAAAGTGATCATTAAAATGACCGACGGTCAACTAAAGAGTTGATAAAAGTGGAAAATGTGTTGAAAAGTTTAAACTTTTATTCAAGTGAAATGCTGTCATTTGCAAAAGGATAAAACTTTTGTCAAACATTACAAAAGAGTTGAAAAGTGTCCAAAAAATATTCAACACAAGTTTCATTATAATTGAAGCTAACAAATTGACCAAAAGTAGAGGCCAATTAAGCGTTGCAAAATAACGATTAATTCATTTGATCAATGTTCAGAAGAGGATGAACAGAAATGGCCGCCAGGCAAAAGGAGAAAATGAAATTTCCAAATAAATCAAGTTTACTAAAATATCCAGGCCATTGATTACCTGGTTGGATAATGATAACAATAATATTTTATTGCCTTAAAAGTTATTTGTTGCTGTGAGCTTCCTACTGAGAATTCATTTGAAGCCAATCATGTTGACTTGCATGGACTAAATGATTGGTCTTGTTATTACCAATTCAGCTTCTAATGATAACATGTTCTTTGGGTGAGAAAATGAAAAAAATTGGTTTTCACCTAAACTTACTATTCCTTTTATAAATTGATAAACTAACGCAAGTATTAACAATGATAATGATGGCAATAATGATAATCTTGCAATGATGATGTCAATAAAATTTTCATGCAAAACGGAAATGAACAGAAAATGAACATTTCTCTTGCACAGTAATCCATTCAATTCATCATTTATTCATCAATATTTAACCCAACTGGACATGAAACACTATCATTAACTGAATCTCTTTTTTTCCATCATTATCAATGTTCGATTCAATTTTCACTGAATTCATTTTCATCTTTACACTTTATTACCCTTTACCATGTAATTTCCCTGACAATATTTAGAAGCAACATTTTCAGCATCGAACGAAAAATCCTTTTCTTTCACCATCATTATCATAATACACTTTTGCTTTTCATTTCAACTTTGTTTTCAACTCCATGTTTCTATTAAACTAATATTTTGTTCTCAGTTTCACTATCAAGTTCAATCAATTTCATGGTTTAATAACTTTTTTTTTCTCTTTTCCAGCTTTTTCCAGCTCTTCTTTATGCTTTTCATCATCTGCCTGATTCCACGTTTTGTAATGCTTTCCTGCCTTTTGATAACATTCATTCCCTGTCAGTCAATTTTTATAAGTTGATTACCTTTGATATACAATATTGACAGTATTATTTTGCTTTCAGTTGAACGAATTTCTTTTTCCCTTTTCTTTAATAGTTTTCTTCTCTCTATTTTCACCTTCTTTTGTATTTCATGTTTATCCTCATTCTGTTATTCATCATGAAGTTTCTCTCATGATAAAGATTCATTGCTTATTAACATGACCAAGTGTATAATTGAGAGGCTTGAGAGTTGAAAATTTTGTGTTTACTTTAATTAACCAAAAGCTTTGGAGATACAATAAACTGAGAGATTCAATTGAAGTTGAGTTTTTGTTGAAAGACAAATGGTGAGATTGATGAAGAGTAAATAAACAAGTTGATATTGAAAAGGAAAGAGAGACAAAAAATGGAGCAAATTCTGTTGGATAAGATGATGATCATGATGGGAAGAGGAAAAGAGATGATCAAGATTCTTCTTCTTCTTCTTCAAGACAAAAGAGGCAAAAAATAGGAACAAAAAGAGTAAAGATGAACGAGCAAAATCTTAGTCTGTGTTTTGTTGCTTTTTGGGTGCTTTTTTGCTGTTGCTACAGTGAAACTTGATTCTTGCTTTTACTTCTGTTCAATCTTATAACTTTGACTAAGCTTTAGATCAGATTCAATCAAGTGTATGCGGTAAGCTCAGTCATCCTTAAATACTTGTGAATAGTCATGTTTCAATGGTCAATCACATAATCAGCGACCTGTGATTTACTTTGATCTGAATTGAGATTTCTCATGACTGCTGAATGAGCCAAAAATTTACACTTTTCGATAATCTTTATGGTGAGTTAATAAATTCATTGAGCAATAATATAAATGAACATTTTCCAAGTTGCTCAACAAAATGAACCTCAACAGTAAATGAACTTTCACCATTCTCAAATAGATAAATCAATTTCTTGCTATAATAATAATGCAAAATAACCCAATGTCGAAACAAGGGAAAAACCTCTTTAATTAGTAAAGTCAATAACCTGAGTCTAAAAAGTTCAAAACTCAAAAGACAAAAAGACTCAAAGGTTGAAATAAACTTTGTCATCGAAATGAATTTTGCTTCCGATCGAGTCTTATCAACTTTTGGACATTATTGCGTTCAATTTTTTCAAATTTATGCTTTTATCCATGAACACTTTTTTCGTCTCGTCGAAATTCGATTACAGTCGAAGGTTAATGTAATCAACTGTAGCCATCGCAATGAGTTTTCCAATGAAGAGTCTTATCAACTTTTTGTCATGTCAGTAATGCAAAACAACCTGATGATAATCGAGTTTAAAGTGGAACCCTTTAAGCCTGTAAAACATAATTTCTGCCCAGTATCGATCAAATCACCAGATCACTACAGATTTAATAGACAATTTTGTTGGCCAAGTAACATTGGAATGTACTAAAACTTGTAAGCTTTTATAAAGTTTACCAATTTTTTAAAACTAATTTTCTTGCTCTCATCACTGACTGACAATCTCATTAAAACTGATGCTATAATTAAATAATGATTATAATTACCTAGACAACGTTAATTTTATTTGTTCAACAAATTTATCAAACTTGTAAAACATTAATGATGAAAAGCAAACATTCAAACTGTTGAAAGAGTAGAGTAAAATGGGTTTAAAAGATGAACAGTTTGCTTGTAAATTGCTTGATTTGGGTAAACACTGTGATTACCATTTCAACGATTCAATCAGAATATTTTCAGTCAAACCTTTTGTTGCACAAACAAGACTCCAAGTTATCAACTTACCTTTATAAGATGATGATGATGATGATGTAAATGAGTCCAATGATGATATGAATAAAAGGTAATAAACAAATTGACCAACAAAATCTTTCATTTTGCCAATTCCAATCTAATAGCGCAACAATCTGAGGGTCAACATTGGGTCAGTAATGGACTTGTAAAACAAAGCAACATGTTAATGCACATTGTTCACAGTAAACCTCACAAATACAGTTCACTAGTTAACATTAATCCACTCGACTGTTGTTTCAAAGTTTCCAATTCTGTTTTCTTTTCATTTTACATTTACTTGGATAATTTAATAGTTTGCTGCTTCTCAAGCAATCGTGACAATTATTGATGAACCTTTGGGCATCGATTTCGAGTTGAACAAACTTTGACTGTTCAACATTAATAAATGTTGGATGCAAAAAGAAAACAAAAAGAAAACAAAAAACCAAAGCCAATTGAATAGGAAAGATTATAACTTTATAAATGCTGTTGGTTCATTCACTTGAACAAAGTTACATTTCAAACTGAAACCTTTTCTATCCTGAATATCAGAAAAAAGAGATTCATCTTATCTTCATCATCATTCTTGCCTGTTTTCCTCTTTCTTTTCTTTCTTTTTTCATTCTGCTCAGAAGATGAAATTAGTCTGAAACCACACCTAGAATAGGATGAAACAGGGGAAAAAGTTTCCACCTTTTCTCTCTATTCAGTTCTGTGTGTTTGGACACTTTTAAATGCTAATCAAAAGAGTATTAAAAAGACAGAGAAAACCTAAATCATGATTGATTGTTGTCCTTTTTATTCAATAATTGACTTTATTCTTGACGTTATTAATTGATGGTCAGTTTCAATTCGATAGCAAATCAATATTATTCTTGGATTTTACTTTTTCAGTTTTGTTCAAAACTCATTTACTGAACGTGTCCATGTGAGCCAAATGCGATTTCTTGGATTTGCTTGCTTTTGTTTAACAAAAAATTTGTCAAGTTATTATTCAAGTTTTAGTCATTTTTTTCATTCTCAACACTTTTTTCAAGTATAGTTGGCTCCATCTTGCTATTGAATTTTGAATCAAATTTTCTGAACATTTCTTGTGAAACTTTACTTTCAATCAACTGGTCGATTTCATTCACATTAAGGTTTTTAAATTATTGAAAGTTGTCAATAAGCAAAGGCGAAAGATTTCATTTTGTTCAGTATGCAAGAAACGGTCAATCGATGTCGAATATTTGTAAAATATTTGAATGTGTGTGAAAATTTTCTCTCGAGTAAATAATTGAAACATTATGGGTTCAGGGCACAAAAACTGAGTCCGTTTGCTGGATGCTGTCATGAATCCAGTTGACGTGGGTAATAGCGTATCTGGAATAAAAATGAAATAAACTTTTGCCACTTCTCTCGCGAGAAATACTAAGGACTTTTGTCAATGAATAGAAGTGTGTATTCCATCGGATTTTATCATTTGTATTAATAATACTCACTTTTCTTCGGACCTCAAAATTCCGTTACATTTCACGAATATTTATCTCTTGAAATGAATCTCTACTTATTGACTGCTAACTAAGCCAAACTGAGCCATCTCACTCACCAATTTTTGGTACGTCTGATAAGCCGTTTACCTAACTCAGTGGTTGATAGAACAACTTATCAGCAATGATTAAACCACAAAATACCACATTTGCTACAAGGTTTAACCAAACAGTTAATAAGCATTGTTTTTGAGATTTTTTAATAGCTGAGTAACAATATCGTGCGTTTTTTCAATTTACGCCTTCGTGTAGGTATAAATCACGACCAGTTAGAGCTACAGACCTCGGACTTAAACCATGCGCTGATGCAGATTGCACAACCATAAGTTCGAAAGATAAAGGTTGTTCAAGGTCATTTCTTTTTTGACCTTTTGATATTGACAATGAAGGTACAGAATACTGGATTGAAAATTACCTATGAGATAGAAACTGGACGACATCTGGCCGACCAGATAAGACGGGTCGCCAAACAAACAATACCATGTTTACTGTATTTTTTCCAATTTATCAGCGTAAATGTAACAGCTAAAGTTGCAACAAATGTCATTTAGAGTCATTGTGACTGCGAATAACATAATCCTCTTCATTAATATTGATATCTGATTTTGATTGTGAAAAAATAACAAAGTGATGTGAGTCCACCCATGATCCAGCTAAAAAGTTATCTATATTTTATTTTGGCAAAAGCATTTATACCTGGTCGTAAATCACGTAGTCCGTCAACAAATGCATGAGCTATTTCATTGGTTCGCACCTTAGAAGTAATACCAACTTTAAATTCGACTTCACTCGGATCAAATAAATTTGAATAACGTTCATAAAATAATCCAGCTAAATATTGGTTAAATAAAAATGAAAAAATTAAATATCAAACAAAATATGCCAACAAATTTTACCGCTAACTTACCTATCTTTTTAGTAGTCTCAACTCCACTAGCCGTCAAATGATTGTCGTTTTCAGTAACCATTTGAAGCTTGCAATCTTTAACCCTTTGATAATCCTGTTCACATAATTCGTTGTTCTTGTTCAGAGTTGTATCCATTAATAATCTCACTTTCTGAAAGAGCTGACTTTTTGCGATCGTTTTATGTTTGCTACACGTTATATCAATAATGCATGCTGGTAAAAAGATATCAGCGTAAATGTAACAATTAAAGTTGCAACAAATGTCGTTTAGAGGTCAGATAATTAAATGTCCTTGAAACTCGGGATTTATTTTCTTAAATTTTTGCAATTCTATTAGCCATTCATCATCAAGATCTGACATTTGGTTCAAAGTTATTAGCACAAACTAGCGTCAAGGATAAAAAACACCCAGCATAATTGAGCCAAGAATTGGAATTTTTTCATTCTTGTAATGTAGATGGCACCATATTCATATAATTGCTCCACCGAAGCTAATAAGCTAATGTTTTGTATCTTTTGAGTAATCTCATCATCTTTAACACTTGATCCATGCACAATCAAGATGCTCTCAAAAATCTCTTTCCTTCTCTTTCTCGATTCGGCCCTTCCTTCAACACTCTAATCACCTACAACTCATCAAAAATATTTACCTGTTTAACGGCCTCCTACCGTTTGTTTTTTCTTGCTCCCACATCTCACTTTGATCATCTTGGCCTTTTTCATCTCCATCTTCATCATCATGTTTACTTGTAAAAGTAATCATTTCATAAATACTTTACTTGTCCAACCAACAATGTCATTTCTGTTCAATTTGCCATCAAAGTGAAAAAGTTTCTCATTCAATGTTCTGATCAAAAGTATCGTCTACTTTTCATTTACAAACAGTTTAATCAGTAAGAATAATTATGAAAAATAAAAGTGATAAATGTCAATTAGAGCCATCGGATTAGACAATTTTTCATCAAATTATGTCCACAGAATTGTACCATCTCAGATCGACAAAAGAGTTTCAATTGGTTTATTAATTGTGATCATGTTTAAAGAAAAGTTTATAACTGTTAAAAGTTTTCCAACACTTTTAACACTTTTTTCACTGATATCTGGATTCAGTTACCTTTTTATGGTAACTCAAGGTAAATAATCAATTTTTGTCTTCCCACACTTTCAACCAAACCATCAACTAATGAGCAACAATTGTCTAACACAGTTTACCTGATTAACCCAAATTTACTTTAAACAGCAAATTGTGTGGTCCAAGAGCCAAATTGTTTCCAATAAATTGTTCACTTTCAACTGAACTAAAACTTGATTGAAATTGTTGCAAATAACAGGGGATAGCAAACGAGATGAAAAAAGTTGAACAAAAAAAATTACGAATCAACATGTTTCTTTGTAATCTTATGATTATACCTTTATTTGGGTTGAAGGTTATGCTTCAAGTTTAGCCCATCAAGGACCATTGAAAGATTCATAGGAAACTCATAAAAAAAGTTGTTGCCTGAAAATTACATACAATTCCTGTAGTAGAGGATGAAATTCAGAGAATTGGGTTGAAAAGAAAGAAAAGGAGAAAAAAATGAAATAAGATTAGCCATTAAAGCGTAAAATTCACCTCGTCTAATTCATGGGGTTCCATTGATTGAATAAAATTGAATAAAAATTATTCTGTTTACAAGATGAAAAACATTCATTGAATTGAGTAAAGAAAAGTAAAAATGAAAAAAAAATCATGTTTGGTTCGAGTTTAGATAAAAGTTTATCAAAATTTTCATGGTAATGCTTAAACTTTATCAACAATAATTTCTTCTCTTTCTTTAATCAGAAAAAAGTTCGTTGACTGGAACAACATTCAACCCTCTGGAAAGTTCATCTCGAAGTTATTATCCAAGATTCTCAGTTGATCCCAAAGTCGAAGTAATTGTAGCCTTTTCAGAGCAACTTGAGCCTCACAGTAAATCTCGATACTGTCCAGTGGGTCCAGTTGATCAGATAACCTGGGACAGTAGACTTTGGCAACGAATCGATTATGAAAATATATACCTTTGGTCAAGCTATTATGACGATCGTTATTCATTCCGAGGCAACTCGTACCATTTCATCCGAACCATTGCACTAGTTAGGGAAAGGTTGACCCTTGACTTGACCTGCTATTTATGGCAACAGCAAAACTCGACTCAAGCCACAACAGTACCAGTGATTGCAACGGAACTGTGGCTCGATATTTGGGGTAAAGGGTCATCAGTGACTCTCTACAAGGCTTACCTATTTTCCTGTCTAGTGCCGCACAATTTACACTACAATGTGTCAGGAGTCTCGATAAGTCCCTACGACTGCTCCAAGCCTGAAACTTATATCCCGATTGAGGTTCCCTCTCAACCTAACAGAGCTCATCCAGTCGCATCAAGTACCATTGCTAACCCACTGTCAACCGTTGAGTCAAAGTCAAGTCTATGGTTGCCTGGGAAGCAAAAGTTTGCCATTTGTGTTAAACCTTTGGACTTTACTAGAGACATATCCAAACGATTGATTGAATGGTTGGAGTTGCAATTTATTCTTGGTGCTGATTTAATCAACATTTACCTTTACTCTGTTCACCCGTCAACTTACAAAGTGCTCGACTATTATGCATCACTTGGTAAAGTTAAACTGTTTCCCTTGGATTTACCTGGTCAACTGCCAAATCAGCCCATGGAACGATCTCAGTTTTTGCAGAATAATATTTGGCAAAAACGACGTCTTGAGCTTTTACCTTACAATGATTGTCTTTACAGGTAAGTTTTAAGTTTATGAGTAATTAAAAGCAGTGTAATACAAGCTTAAAGCTTTTTCTTTCCTAAATTATATGCTTACCAGTCTTTAATCGTATTAATAATCATAATGATAGTCTTAATGATAAGTTACAAGGGAAATAATTAATAGTAAAAGTTACATTGATTCATATTTTCTGGAAAATTTGTGCTGCTTGGTTTAAAAGTTGCCTGACAGAAAGACATTCAGTTGTTGGTTCAACAGTCAAGTTAAATTGTTGACTCTTCTTAATCATTAATTTGCCATTTTCAATGTAACCCTCAAAAAACTCATAATTAGGCTCATCGCTGTGGTTGGCCAGTTTTTGTGGTTTTTTCACTCAAAAGATCAACTTTTCTGTTGAGGTTAAAAGTTAGGATTCCAGTTGGGGATTTGAAATGATTTATCACAATGTTTTCATCAAGATTAAGTTTATACAATTTATGCAAGTCTATTTGGTTGAGCACGGTTATTAATGTATTGAACAAACTATCCTCTCAACCGACTTGAAGGATACAGATTTTAAAGTCTATTGATTTACCAGATAACAACTTTGACGATTAAAATTGCTTGATCCTAATGAGCACTACAGATAACATTAACATCTTCATAGAGTTCAACTTTGTGTTAAATTCAATTTTCACCTTTGAATCATTGGATCATTTCGCATTATTGCGACAAGAAAACAGTTAATTCAAGTCAACTGTGAGCAATCACGATAAAGTTGGTTTAAGCTTTAACGGGTGTTTTTGTCCTTGACGCTCGTTTGTGCTAATAAATTTTGAACCAGAGGTCAGATCTTTATGATATTATAATATAATATTTACTCTAATTCATCTGATCTTCCAACGCAAATTGCGACTTTCGAGTCTTTTCCGAGGTCACATCTGTCTTAGAGTTGAGATGTAAAATAATCTTGCTTGTCATCTTTAAGACTCGGACTATTTTTACTGGTGCAAGTTTGTTTGTTTTTCAATATTTTATTAACAATCCGATCTAAAATAGTCACACAATGATGATTCATTCCATGACTCGAATTGATTAGATCCTAATAAAGCATTTAACTTCAGTACTTGAATGTTGATTCAATTGAATGACCAAGTAACTATTATTTACTAAGTTATTTACCATTGCTTTTGTTGTAGACAAACAATCAGCTTTAATCTAATGAAGTTGTTTAGTGAAGTTTACCTTTTCCATACAAGCAATCATTTGCCTGAATTACTCTTATTGAAGTTTAAAGCAAGATAATGATGAAGAGATACAAAAATGAGTTTCTGCATAGTTAATGGACATGTTGAGATAATAAAGTTACAATGGTCAAGCTTGTATCATCTTGGACCAATGAAATGAAACATGAAGCCATTATGGTCTCTATAAAGCACTTGAAGAAAAAAATGTAACAAAAAATTATTCAAAAGAAAAGCCGAGTCTTTGTTGAATCTCATTAGGAATTGTGAACTGAATCAGCTTTTTGTAAAGCTACATTGAGATGAGAAAAGATGAAATTTTTTCTTCTCCGAAAAAAGAGAAGAAAAGTTTTTCCATAATCTTGAAAATTATAATGAAGATAATCATCATTTATTAGTTTACTGTGCGTGACAATATGAACATCAATTGTAATTATATTAATACAATGAGCTACCAAAAAAATAGTTGCTTCAGAAAGTTAATCACAAAATTAGTGTAATCATTTAGAGTTAAATTGATGAGTTTACAATTTGATTTGTCGATTGTTGATGGTTGAATGGTTGCCTGATACAAAAATACAATGTAAATAAGGATTAAATTGTTCAACAGTAATATTTAACTTATCAAACAAATATTGAAAGTAAAATGAAAAATCAAATTAATATTATTATTGAAATAACTTCTTTTATCATGTTTTCACATTTCGTGATTATCCTTTTCCATTCCTATTATTATTATGTTATTAACCGGTATCATTTGAAAATTTCAAGGCTCAGATTATCTAATCGTTTCATCCCATCATCATCATCATCACGTTGTCATTTGCAGAAGAAAGTAAAAGTTGATCAAATAGATTGATTCAATTAGATTTAATCTTCATCTTTTACTAGTCAAGAAAAGACCAAAAAATGTTGATTAAAAGTTGCTGCGAAATCCAAGTGTCTTGAGTGTCCTGTCAACCTAGACCTTGAGTCTAACAGGACAACACCAAACTCAAAGGTCGGCTTCATTTGCACCAAGTTTACTGTAAATTTCAATGCTTGCTTTTAATGGACAATTAAGGTTTGTTTATTGGTTAGAATGATTACTAGAAAGTAAATCAATTTAATTACTCAATTGTATAATCAACAGGTTGTTTGCAAAAAAGGGAAAGTTGATCAATTAGATTGAATCTTCATCTTTTACTAGTCAAGAAAAGACCGAAAATGTTGATTGAAAGTTACGGTAGAGTCCAAGTGGATTGAGTGTCTTGTCAACCTAGACCTTGAGTCTAATAGGACAACATTAAACTCAAAGGTTGGCTTCGTTTGCGCGAAGTTTACAGTGAATTTTAATACTTGCTTTTAATGGACAATTTGGGTTTGTTTATTGGTTTTAATGTTTGGAAGGTTAATTAATTTAATTCCTCCATTGTATAATCAACAGATTGTCAGTTTATTTGTAACCTTTAATTGTCATCGAAACATTAGACAATAATCACTGGATCGGAATCAAAATGGTTTGACAAGTGCATCAATTGTAATTGTTATGTTCAATTGACTCAAATCAATAGACCATTCATGTAATAAAAACAAATCATTTGTAAACCTTATTATCATCTTATCTTTCATCATCATCCTCATCACCATTTCCTAATGTTGAAATGAACAACAATTACTGGTACAAGTTTGAATGTTTTACTGGACATTTCAACTTGTCTTGTAACAACCCACTTCTCATCATCTTATCACTTTTTATTCACAAGATGAGAAGATGAGAAACAAAGAGAAAATTTTGCCCTCTTTTTTAGTTTCTCCCATCCAGGATGATGATTACAATACAAAGGTTTGAGACTTTATACTGAAAAAGACAGCAACTTGAAAAAAAACCTTCATCAAGAAACTTCTCTATTTTGCTCTTTTCTTCGTCTCAATCGTCTTGCAACTTTCCGCACATCATCATCTTCATCATCTTTTAACCATCAAGTCTTTAGGTTGGCCTTTTTACCTCTTCAAAATTGCCAAGAAATAGAGAAAAAAACTTTTCTATTTTTACTTTTCTTTTGAGTTTTTCAAAAGAAGAACCCAAAAAATGGTTGCTTTTTCCACCTTTGACTGGTTCATTTCCCAAGCGTCTAACTTTTTTTTCAACTTTCTGGTTACCTTTACACTGACCCATGTTGAGATACAATTCAAATCACTTTTTATTCAACCTCAGTTCCGTTCAGTTTAGCTCAATCTGTAAATTAATATGCTGATGAAAGTTAATTTGCAGATTGAAACTTGATGAACGGATGTGGAAAAGGTGAAACAAATTGATCTTGATCGAGAAAACTCCTTTTTTGAATTCACTTTAAAAATCTCACTTAAATGCTTTCAAAGTACAATCTCAGCTTCAATTGTCGACAATTCCGACTAACATCTTGAAATCGACTCAACGCATAAACAAGTTTTATCAAGCACGAAACTCGATGTTGGTTCGAGATTCATTTGAAATCCTCTGTCATGTAGTTGCTCAAAACCATTACAATTTGAGTTACAGTTTCAGTAAAGGATTCATCATGTTAGGTCATGCAAATTGAACAAAGTTTTTGCACCTTTATAATCCTTTCTAACAACTTTATTCTGAATTGAGATTTTCCCAGCAATGAAAGAAACTCAATTTTCCCGTGTAAATAGTTTTACCTTTTGGTCAATGAATATGAATATGAATATGAAAAGCAAACATAATGAAACCAACTGCAAGTGACACACAAACCCGTTTGTTTATTCACATCACGCTTCATTCTGGCTCACATAATTGTTCATCATTTGTGTACCACTTCAACATGTAAAGGGTAATGGGCTGGACAGTCTTTTGCAGGTTAAAAGATGGTAACGGTCAAGGAAGAGGTTCTTCAAAAATAATGCAACAATGAAGAAAAAAGTAAAATGAGTTTATCTAAATGACCATCGCAAATGATTCTAACTGTATATTGACTGACTACACTCCTTCACTTCTTTTATCCTCAAATGATCATTATTTTGTGTAAATGATAACAGTAAAGGGGTTACCTTGGTTAATGGTTTCCTTATGGTCCATCATCTGAAAGGTGTTCAAGGAACGGGCACAATTTTGATGGGCTACTGAGTTTAAACTGACTATTAACTGTTTACAGAGTTAATTGCATTGACAGAGAATTGACCAGGCTTCTGAGGAAGGCCAACAACACGGAAGGTTTTTTTGTCTCTCTTGTTTATCTTTCTGTTTATTTCAATAATCATCTTCATCTTTACCCTTTCACTTGTATCAACACAATAGACTGAACCGGAAGAAATTGAAATTTAATGAACAACATGAACTATTGAGTAGATTTAAAGTCTTGTTATCAAGCATCTTGTTGAACTTTATTGAACAAAAAGCACTCAACTTTTCATCTTTTTTTTGTAAAAGGTACATTGAAATGGTTGATTAAATGATTTTTATTAAAAAGATTGATTCAAAAGTACAATGATTGGTAAACAGCTTGTCGACTTTGATGTCAACGTTTTTAGATAATTTTGTTTATTTTATTTTATTTTATTTTGCATCATTGTGCCAAGTTGCTTAGGTTAGGTTGGGTTAGATTAGGTTTAGTTTAAACCAATTGACTCACGGAGGTGATTCTCTCGATGACGAACTCTGATTGATCCACAAAATACTGAAAACATTGGACTTGAAGTTACACCTTTTCGGACTGCTGAATGTTTACGAGCAGACAAATAAAAGCATAGTCAATACTATTATATCAGCCGTTCTTAATGGCTGCCTTGAATATAATCTTTGAACAATTGTTTTGATTTTATATTGTAAATTATTGTTTCTGTAAAGGCGGACTTGAAGTGTCTATACATTTTTTAAGATGCATTGTGCTATTTGGATAGCACACCAATTTATTTTATCCTCACTTTTTGTTTTAAACTCTATAATTTTCCAATCATCTTTATTTGATGGCCTTTTTACGTTTCTTTCCTTGCCAAGTCGATTCCATTTTGAATGAAAGCTTTTAAGTCCAAGTTTATGCCGGGTCTTAACTTGTTATTTCAGAGTAACGATGCTTCGTAATTTTTATAACAGGCTAAAATCGAAGATACTGACGGGATTTGCAGCTTAAAAGACCTACCTGTATTGCATTGTGCGATCGAGATTTAAACTTTGTTTTCCTCTCGACCTTTGATAGATGATTAGCAAGGATGTATCAGTAAATTTTTCCAACCTGTTGCGAAGGAGAAACACTCGTTTTTTGCAAGCAAACAAACTTAGACTATGAAGTGAGGGAAGAAAGTTTTTACATTTAAAAATAAATTGGAAACTGTTTCTTCTTACCATGATGTAATCATACACTTGAAACAGTCAAAGAGATGGCTTAAGCATCTTGGGATCCATCATAGTAGGGCATCCAGAATGTACCTCTGTGTCCAACTAATCGCATTAGATTTTGTTTTTAAAATGTTTCAAATAGAAGAAAAGAAAAGCAAAAAACCATCTTGAAGTATGGTGAAACTTCACAATAGCAAGCGGCAGTAAATTCAGTGAGTTTGACCAAACTTGAAGGCTGGAAACTGTCATAATAAAAAGAATTGTATGAGACGGGCATGAAATTCAATCTATCAAGAACTTTACCTGACTCGAGTATCTCCACTTGTGAGCACAGAAACATTTCCAAGATGGTCAATCACAATTTTAACTTCAACAGTTCTAACAGTGGGCATATTGATGTTGATCTTGATGTTGATAAAGTGAAACTGAATGAAAATTGACTGAGAAGCTCTCCTTTTATACTAATTTAGCTAATCGCAAATTTCAAGAATAAAATGAAATCATTATTCAAAACAATAACTCAGATGAAACAATGGGATTAATTTGCTTAATTTAACCAATCAAACAATTTTACATTGTCTATGAACAAAATGACAATGCATCGTAAAAATAAAATTGAAACATTAAATAACCCAATAGCAATGATAAAAGTTTAAATTTAGATTAATGTTCAATTTTTTCATTGTTACATTGTAAATAAATTACATTGGAGTCTATTTTTTCCGTAAATCCAATCAAATTGGTTGTAATTAGATCGATTTTATTCAATTTAATGTAACAATTTTGGAAAAGTGATTTATCTTTTTTATGAGTGCTATTATTACCCTCGACCTTAGACTGTCTAACGAGTCCAAGACCATTAGCACTGCCCGTGAAACAGCAAATAAAATTGATTTCAATCGTTAATAAATTCGTAATTACTTTCCAGTGAATTTGATGGAACCAAATTGAATTTTCATTGATTTTAATCTTGTAAAATTGGCCCACATTGATGAGAAGTGTTTATCATAATATTATTAATGTCCGGTCATTGGCCTCGAACAACTGCGTCTATGAAATTAAGTTTCAACTGTAATCCAATTGATGGTCAATATAACGATTAAAGTTGTTCACAGTGCTTACATGCAATTCAAGTTTAACCAAACATATTCATAGGTATTTAGTTTGCTGGGTTTAAGTTTAACAATTGAATCTTTACATAATCATAAATTGAATTGATTTAAAGCAACTAAAAGACAGTTTGATCAGAGTTGGTGCTTTTAATAGCCTTTGTTTTATGTTAAATTGTTTCCTTGTAACCTGAATTAGTTTAACACTCAAATACAAATGACTTAATAACGCTACTTCTCACAATATGATTTTATTGTGAGAGTCGTTACATTGTGAATTTATCTGTTTGCTTTCCCAACTCTTGCTACAATTGTATTCATAGTTGATCCGTTTCTTAATGGTTTCACTGGTAAAACAAATTAAACTGAAAGCATGAAATTATTAATAGAAAGACAATGAACACTGAATCAATTAATTTTGTTGGAGCATTTAATGTCTTCCGTAAACAAAGTGTACGGAAATTGTCATCAAAAGTCATTTCTAAATGTATTATCAACTGTTAAGGGTAACCAAGTTCAAGTCATTTTTGGGTTTTTGATAACAACCACAACAATTACAAGTACAATTGTTGCTTTATAAAGGTAAAAAGCACCTCAAATCATCATCATTTGCATTATTTTCACAGCAAAAAAAGACTTCATTTTCAAACATTTGGATAATAATGATTTTAAGGGAAAAAACTTCTTCCTGAAAAAAAACTAAAATCATGAATTGTCAAGATGATTTGCCTTATTAGCATCTGTAAATGTTGTTTACATTTCATTTACTTGCATGTATTTACTCATCTTCCTGTTATCACCATGTTTCAATGAAATGACCAAAGACAATCTTAATGATGAAAAATCATGGTTTGAGCTGATTCATCGTTGCGTGATGAAGATTAAGAAAAATGTAAGCTGAAAAGTCTGTTTAGGTTAACATCAGTGTTGAGGTTCATCTTATTGCTATTATTATCATTGTAATCATTATGATGAGTTCATAATTTAAATTTCATCTCAATTTGCAACGTATTTTCATTTGGGCGTTAAATTGGTGAACTTTAAACACAGAATTAAAGAGGAAATTTAATTGTGGTTTCAAGCCAACTTTCAGCTTCTATCATTGCTTTAATATGCAGAAGTATACATTACCATTATGTAGATGGCAGTGTTTCTCTTTGTTTTTGCGGTTAATTTTCGGTTACAAACATTGATACATTTTTATGTAATATTTTCAAATTAATGAAGCTTTAGAGTTTTAATTAATTTCATTTATTAGTTTTCAATGGGTTAAAGTCTCGATTCTTGAGCTATTTAGAGGTGAATCTTTAGGTAAATTACTAATTCTGTTATCCTGGAAAGAAAAAGCTTACAAATTCATTCCGTTATTACTATGTGCTTATCTAATGTTTTGTTTTTTTTTCGGTTTCTTTTTTAGGCACATCTATACGCACCAATTTGTGGTTCTGGTTGATATCGATGAGGTGATTGTTCCTGTGAAAGATTACGATTGGAAATCGTTATTGGACCGTGTATTCACCAATGACCCTAAATCAATTCAAGTCTATCCCTCGTTTTCTGTTCAAAATACATATTTTCTGGAAAGTTATCCATCTCCTTTGGTACCTGGAATACCAAGTTACCTTTATATGATTTCTCATGTTGCCAGGTCAACTAACTTTAGTATACCTGGTTATGCTGTTAAAAGTTTCATCTCAACCAATACTAGTCTTGCTGTTTTCAATCATTACACTTTATTTCCATTGTATCCAGCAATGAAGCGAAACGCACTCATATCAACCTCATTGGCTCAGCTCAATCATTATAAAAGTGAATGTCCAAGGAGTATGGTTAAAGAGTGCTCAGAAAGGTTTATGAAATATTGGAAAGTGGATAAAATTTTGTGGAAATATAAGAAACCATTATTGAAAGCAATCAACCAGGCAGTTAAATTGATTAATGATTACAGTGATAATAACAATACTCATCACCATTTATCCAATAATTCAATTTATTTTGATGAACAAAACTAAACAATGAGTTATTTCACTCACTGAAGAAGCTCAAATGAATGGCGATTGGCTCTTAAATTATTATAATACAAAAGAAAAGGAAAGCGAAACCCAAAAAATCATTGTATGAAGTTAATTAACAATAAGGTGACAACTAGTCGGTTTCATTATTTCATGATTAATTTTGATGTAAATAAAATTGTAAATTAACTCTTATGTATTAACGATAATCTTTTTCAAATTGTGCGCGTATTTTCAACGCAATGTTTTCTGTCTTTGAATATTTTCAATAAAAAAACTTAATTGAAATTAAAGAAATTGTTTTAATTCGGAAAAGTTCATATTTTATTGTTGATTTCAATAAATTGAAACGCTTTACTTTACCTGTGAAGTTTTACACCAAAAGTTGAAAAACTAAAGCATGAAAGAATGAAAGCAACAAAACTGGTTATCATCTTGAAATCAGCTGTGGATTATTATTTTGCCTCACAACACATGTAATGTTTGCTTTTATTTACTGTTTTTTTACAAAATTTGTATTTAAATTGTAATGTTTATTTCTGTAATTTAATATGTAATTAGTTTAATTCAATAACAATCATGTTGTCTTCATCATCACGGGTTGCTAAATCTCTGGTGTCAGTTGTTTTGAAAAATCATTTTCAACTGGGCAAAAAAGCTTCTCAACTAGAAACATGTTACCGGTCTTTTCATGGTACAAGGATAGTGTCTATTTCTTCGTCACCAGTGCTGTCATTTGCTGACAGACCATCAAAGTCCGACCCTCCGAGCAACAAAAAAGCAAAAGTAGTCGAGATATGGCATGGAATGGGGCCTCGTGAGCTGGCTAAATCTTCAGGATTGACCATTGAACAAGTCCGTGAACTAATGGATTTGTGTAATATAAAATGGATAAATTCGGTAGAAGATATCAAAACCATGTTGACTAAACTAAGATATCGGTTCACTATTGTCACAGCACCTTCAAAAGTTGTTAAAGAATCTGAAGATAATATTTCAGAATTGATTGAACAATCAAGAGAACCAGAAGGGAAAGATCTCAAGCCAAGACCGCCAATTGTTACCATTATGGGTCATGTTGATCATGGGAAAACGACATTGTTAGATTCTCTGAGGCATAGTCAAATTGTCGAACAAGAATTTGGTGGAATCACTCAACACATCGGAGCATTCGCTGTTGCCTTGGGTAAGTGTTTCAAATCAAATTTTTAAATTTCGTATCAATTAATATGTTTATTTACTCTTCTATACTAGATGAAAGTATCTCCAGAATGAAAAAATTTGATGCATCGCTGGTTAAAAAGATAGTCACCTTTTTAGATACTCCAGGTCATGCTGCATTTTCAGCGATGCGACAAAGAGGAGCTAATGTTACAGATATTGTAGTCTTGGTAATAGCCGCTGATGATGGTGTAATGGAGCAAACTATCGAATCAATTAAATACGCTCAAAAAGCTGGAGTTCCAATGATAATAGCAGTTAATAAAATTGACAAAGTATCAAATGCTGATGAAGCCTTAAAAAGAATCAGAATGCAGCTAAATGTTGAAGGCATTGTTACTGAAGCAGATGGAGGTGATGTCCAGGTTGTTACCATTAGTGCATTAAAAGGTGAAGGTTTGCGCGAACTAAAAGAAGCCATTTTAGCTTTGGCAGAAACCTTGGAATTAAAATCTTCATACGATGGTGGGATTGTTGGATCCGTTGTTGAATCAAAAATAGATCCGCATCGAGGAAAAATGGCAACTGTTTTAGTGAATCAAGGAATTTTGAAGAAAGGTTCATATATTTTAGCTGGTGAGGTTAGCTATTGTCGTGTCAGAGCCATGTTTGATGAACAAACTCGTCCCATTGAAACAACAACTCCTGGTTTTGCTAGTCAAGTAATCGGTTGGAGAGATGATGATTTACCTGAAGCGGGTGATATTGTTTATTCATTTCCAGATGAAAAGTCACTTCGTCAAATTGTCAAGAAAGCTCATGAAGTCCGAATGAAACAAAAGGCTCTTTATGATGCCGCTGAAGCAGCCAAGAAAAATGCTGCATTACGAGAAGAGTATACTACGAAAAGACAAGCTAGAATTGAAGCGAAAATACCTTTTTGGTATACAAAATATAAAGGTCCAAAAGTCAAAACTTATCAAGATGACCCCGATGAGTTATATAAACTACGACTTTGCATAAAGGCTGATGTTCATGGCAGTGCAGAAGTTCTTTTAGACATAATTGACGCTTATCCTAATGATACTTCTCCTATAAAATTGGATTTGTTACATTATGGTGTTGGTGCAGTTACGGAAAATGACATCGAATTAGCCGCTTGTTTCCAAAACTCTGTTGTTTATGCTTTTAATGTTCCCATAAGCCCACAATTATTGAATCTAGCCAAAGAATCTAAAGTAAAAATCAAAACTTACAATGTTATTTATCATTTTGTTGATGATTTAATCCGATCTATCAACGAAATGATGCCAGAAAAAGATGACGAAGTTGTTATTGGAGAAGCTCTGGTACAAAAACAATTTCTAATCGAAGAGAAACGAAAATCTATTCCAGTTGCTGGCTGTCGATGTACTCGAGGTCCGATTCTTCGGGAAGATTGCTTCTATAAAGTAGTGAGGAATAATAAGACGGTTGCAGATGGACTTATAATTAGTTCGATGAAGCACTTAAAGGAAGATGTTAAATCAATAAACACGAACTTGGAATGCGGACTAAAATTTTCTAACCTGCCAGAGAACTTTAATTTCCTTCCATCAGATATTTTAGTTTGTTATAAATTGAAAAAAGTGAAACCAACATGTAAATGGAGACCTCCAGGTTTCTAGTAGAAACCCGAAGGCAATAAACGTCAATATAATAAATTATGTAGATTTTGATGACGAAAATTGACTATTTAATAGTTGTGATTGCATTAAAACATGTATTTTTTTCTATGATTTCGAAGTTGCATTTTAATAGCTGAAGAATACGAAACCATTATTATTAGTGATGATATCAAAACTTGTAGAATGAATGTTGACCCATGTAATTTTTTGCCTTAAACCATAAGAAAATAAGGTGAACTTGGAAAGTAATAGATGGTTTTGGAATTGTTTGTGTATTACCAATTTAAGCTAGAATGTGCAAAAGTTGATTTGACTTTAGACCATGATACATTTTTTTAGAAAGATTTTGGTTCATTGTGATGAAAGAATGGAAAACATAGGAATAAAAATAGAAGTAAAAAGATACTAAAATTATGTGCTATAAAAGTAGATTATGAAAACAAAACTAATATTCAGCATTATAATCTGGAAGTTTTGATATGTCCAAATCTTTAAAATAAGCATGTTTAACTGCAGCTTTAGCAGATACCCTCTTATTAGGATCGTAAATGAGCATCAACTGAAAAGTAAAAATTTTAGAAAAAAAATTGGAAAAACAAATTAGAATTTTAACTTTAAAATGTAAAATGAATGAAAACAAATGAAATAATGTATTATTTACCTTTAAAAGATCGTCACCCGTTTCTCCGATAACTGGTTCAAATGAATTGAGAATATTTTCTTTCCAGCAGGGAAAATGACTTTTGTAAGCAGGTAATTTTGACACACCAGGCCAAGTTTGTTCAGTTGGTGTACCCAAAACTCTAAAATTTAAATAAAAAACAAAGATTAGTAGAAATATCAAATTTACCTCATTGAATTTTTTCCCTTCGGGAAAGTAATTGCTATGACATAATTATAGCATTGATATTGTTATAGGAATTTAATTGCTACAGTTATTTCACGTATAATTTACCTGAAAATTCTAAAAAGTTGATCAATCTCGGAATCTCCACGGAATAATGGTCTCTTTGTAGCCATTTCAGCGAAAATACAACCTACTGACCACATATCTAAAGATGTTGAATAACGTTCCGAGTTTAGTAAAACTTCCGGTGCTCTATACCAAAGAGTAACAACTTCATGAGTATATGGCCTAACTGGTATACCAAATGCACGAGCTAAACCAAAATCAGCCAATTTAATGATTCCTTTAGAATCTAGTAGGAGATTGTGGGGCTTCAAATCACGATGTATGGTTCTTCGTTGATGACAGAATTTTAAAGCTTGCAGAATTTGATACAAATAACTCTAAAAAATTCAAAAACAACAACAAATCAGTAAAATTACTTGTATCAATAAATAGTAACAAAACTAACCTTAACCAACATTTTATCCACCATTTTATCCTCAGGTAAGCTGTCGAGGTATTTTTTCAAATCCATGGTCAAAAATTCAAAAACCAGGTACAGACGATTTTCTTGCATAATCACATCCTTCAAACTGCAACACAAAAGAGATTTGATTATGAAATAAAATGGCAAAATACAAAGTAAACATTCAACAGAAAAAATATGACTTACAATACAATATTTGGATGTGCCAATTCTTTGAGAAGCGTTATTTCTCTAATAGCGGTCGGTGGCACACCTTCATCCTCATTTTCCAATCGGATTTTTTTCAGAGCCACCACAGCATCAGATTTACGTACCTTTGCTTTATAAACAACACCGTAGGTACCTTGAATTTTTTCAAACAGAAAGTAATATGATTTTTATAAGATAAAACTATTCAAACATAATTTTCATTAAAACTTACCTTCACCAATTTTTCC